GATGTGCAATTCATGTGAAGGGCACCAAACTGGCTATTTAAATTTGAGACTCTAAGCCATGAACACAATATCCATCCCTACTCTATCAACTCTGGTTCCACAGTTTGACTTGACAATCAAGATTGCGTATTCATAAACTTGTGAAAAAAAAGTATTGTTTTCGTTAGAAAAGGTCAAAAAAGGACAAGGGAAAAATAGTGGTTTTTAATACAGATTCTGATCCAGGTGAAACACCACAAGAATATAATGTAGTTGTCATAAAGTCAGATATTGTGCTATATATTTTACCAATCCTAAATGATCACTCTTCCATGTAGCTGAGACTGAATTCTTTGCCAGAAAATAGGACTATTTGAAATTAATTGAAAAAGAATTTATTTTGTTTCAGCATACAAAATAACTAAAGTAAATTGTTTTTTTTTTTTAAAAAAAGGACACCACTTACCAGCTCTTATTCTACCAGAATTTTGTGGAAAACACTCTTCACTTTCAATACACAAATGCAGCTGAAATGTGTTTATTCCATCCTCATTCTCATCAAACTAGAGAACTAACATTTTATAAGGATGACTGATGAGCTACATGCAAGTCAGAGTTAAGAGTCTACTGTAATTTCAGTAATATTCCCTTTACATAGTTAACCCCTCCACCCCCACAAATTCTGTACATCAGCTACTATTTTTTGTGGCTCAAAGGACTTACTTTGCCTTTTTAAAAACAAAGAAAAAACACATGTCCAGTATATAGTCAAAGTTATGTTGGCCTGTGCTCCTTCCAACAATCTCTCAAGAGTTTTTGCCACAAAATTTAGTTAGAAAAGTCAACGTTGACCCCTCCCCCAAAGCACAGATTTTGTGCTCAGATTGAAATGAATCGTGTTGAATGTGCACTGTTAAAAAAAGTTGAAAGACAGCCTTTAGATTTTCAAACATTTCATATAAAAATGCTAACAAAAATGTAAAAAAACCCACTCAAACATCTCCCGCCGTGCTCCAAGATCACATCATACACCTGATGTCAAAATATTTCAAAAACCTCCCAACAATTGCACATTTAAAAGTTGGACTTAAAAAAGAACATAACACTTCAAGTATGTTTCATGCCAATCATCAAGAAGAGTCATAACATTACTGAAGAAAAGTACACTTGTTCTTTTGAAAGTCTAAGATAGACTTCCGTAGTTTAGGTCAAATATCTTAATTTAAAAATAATAAAAAATAAACCCACATTCACACACATAGCATACACACAAAAGGAAATAATTTCTTTGGACTTAAAGAAACAGCGTTAAGAATTCCCATTTGATGATGAAGAAATAACCTTACTACAAACTTAATTTTTCATACTGCAACATACTGTGCACAAAGAACAAGGAAATCCGTTAGATGTTTCTGCAGGATGATTCTGTAGCAACAGATGATAATCTGGTCACTAAGCAGCAATTGGATATACAACAGCCTTTCAAGCACAGCTTATTTTGAAAAGGCTAACAAATCCTTCAGATCCAAAAGTAGTCCTTAAGCAACATCTTCTATCAGGATATATCACTTGACATCCCTGCTTTAATGGCTTCAGTAAGAGAAGGCCTCTTTTCTGCCCTCTTTCTTTAAATGGAGTTTTATTTTGTTTTATGAAATTACTTTTGTTAAAGATTAAAAAATACTTCTGAAAATCAGGGCAGTGATGTTTAGTAGATAATTTCACTAAAGAAAGATGTTTCTATCGGGTGGCTGTTTTTTTTTTCTTTCAGAAAAACATCATTTTACCATTAAAAAGTTTAAAATGGTAGGACAGGTAACATTTTGGAAGAAGTCCAAATATCTCTGAAAAAAAATGGAAGGAATACAAGTTCTCAGGTGGTCCCTATAGCAATACATGCACGAATGTAGAATTTTTTTTTTAAAAAAAAGAAAGGATGGGGGTGGGAGAGTAGTTTAGAACTCATTTATTCACATCCAAACATAATATGTATTAATTATGCAATTGAAATTAATCTGATTAACCAGTTTGAGTTAAGAGCCCTATTACAACTGAATGTGAAGTATGGAACAAGTAATGAAATTTAGAAATAATTTTCAGCATATTGGCCGTAAATAGTTCCCAATCAAGGGCTTTCTGTCTGTACTATGAAAACTGAACTAGTATTCCTCTTATGGCAAACATCTGCTTATGTTATATTTGTTTCTAATATAACCTTAAAACAGACGAAGAAATGTTGACGGGAAAGCAATTCTGAATTGGGATAGCATACCGTATTAACACATTTGTGTTTTTATCCCTTAATAACAGGTCAGAATCTCGTTTTGTTTTGTTCCATATAGTCCAAAATGAGCACATTAATTATAACCTGGGTGATCCTGCTACAGTAGACTGAGCATTTTAAAAAAATAGATAGGAGACTTTTCTGCCTTACCCCACACCAGTATCTTATTTTGGGGAACCAGAGAAATCGAAACCAAACAATGCAGTGGGGTTTTCACACTGTACTAGCAAAAGGGTCAAGACAAAGTGGCATCAAAGCAAGAGTAAGGTCAGAAGGCCTGTGATGGCGGTGTGCTGGATCCAAGGAGCATCCGTGAGACACGGGACATTGTAGCGTCTGGTAGTGCCATTCCCTCAAGGACGTTGGAATATGCATATGCAGTAATAAATAGATCAGTTATGTAATAAGGCAGTGTGTTGAACATGCATTTATCTTGTGGCCTGGAGTACCACAGAGAGAGACACATGATACCATACACATTCATTAAGTGTTTTTTTTTTTTCAAGGCTATCCAGGCTAACTCTTCCAGAGCATTTCCTTGGTGAGAAGAGCAATTCGCTGAGGCTTGTCATTTTTCTTCTCCTTTATCAAGAGATGATGAACTGGCTTTAACAAAAAAATAAAATAAAAATAAAGCTGAAGAGAGCTGTTGGGGTTTTTGCACCATGGCTGCATCGTTCTGAATGTTTTATTTTTCTTTTTTTCTTTTTCAGATAAAAAAACAAACAACCAGCAGTTTTTAATGCAACCACAACTGATGTCCTCAGGATGCTCCAGATGTTTCCAGGTAACTCTGTAATTTTCTAACTGTGGTTTTGTCCAGTGAGCAAAGGTCAAAGTCAAACGTAGTGTTTGTGATGTGAAAATGTCCCGTTTCTTCTATAAGATTTACAATCTGTCATTCAAAAACAAAAGGAAAGGTTAAATTTAAACACTTCTGATCATCTCATCTGTGAGATTTTCAGATAAAATGTAGCCTTACATTGTTTCTTTGTCCATGGGTCTGAGCATGATACATGAATGCCAACAATAGCTTTATGCTTGTTATAACCTTCCTTAATTTTTTTGTTTGTTTATTTGTTTATTTATCTTAAATCATTTTAAAATAAAATTTGTAGACTGCTACAGATCTTTCCAGGCAAGTATCCTACTAACTGGAGAAATGAAGTAACAAACTGAACAGCAACTCTTAATTGGCAATTCTCAGTTATGATTCTGCTTGATTCGGCTATTTGCTGACATGAAAATGTCACACGCATATTGTAATTTACTATGATCTACTCAAACCCTTTTCTTTCTTTCAATCTTCTCCATGGTATATTTACATATTCCCTCATTCTTTTCCTAATTGCCTTTTCATTTTCTTTTTATTTCTAAACCACTCATACCAGGCATCCCAGGCCCTCTAATAAATTGAATCTTCTCTGTCTTTTATTTTCATCGTTAGCCTGTCCATCTCTATACAATCTATTTTTTTTTTTATAACCATGCCTTCCAGTGAAACCCTTTTTTTCTTCCAGAGTTGTGAATAAAAAATCCTTGCAGCTGTTAATTTATGTAACATAATATATCTATCTGTTTTATTGCATTTTTGTGTTATTATACCTAATAAAAAAGTTTCCAGATTAAATTCAAATTTTTTGATTCGTGATTTCTTCTATCCGTTGTCTAATTGTATTCCAATATTTTTTCACTTCCTGGAATGTCCACCAGGTATGAAAATAAGTGCCTTTTTCTTTTCCACATTTCCAACAATTTAGGTCTGAATTAAACATTTTTGCCAATCTAACGGGAGGAAGGTGCCATCTGTAGAACATTTTGTATTGATTTTCCTTGTATGCTGTGGATGTAATTAATTTGTAATTTGACCCCACATTCTCTCCCAATTATCCAGGTCTATATTGTGGCCAACGTTTTTCACCCATACCACCATCGTCTCTTTGACCACCTCCTCTTCCATTTTAAAATCTAGTAGAAAGTGATATATTCTTGAAATCATTTTCTTTACCATTTCTTGTAGAATTTTATCTAATTGATGCTTTTCCATGCAGAAACCAAATTGTTCTTTGTCCTTCTGATATCTGGCCTGAATTTGCATGTATGGCCACCAATCTATCTTTATATTTTGTTGCTGTAATTTTTGTCTTGTAATTCTTTTTACTCAAACCCTTTTCTGAATTAGTGCCCTTCAACTATGTAGGAGATGACAATTATAATACAATATATTGTATAATGTGGCTTTAGCATTCTTAAGTTTCATCTAGAGGCCTTTCCCCCCTTCTTCTATTCAAGAGCTTTTTAACTGAGATGAAAATGACCTAGACTGTTTACATCTTGTACATGCAAAGCACATGCTCTGCCTATGAATTAGAACTATTCCCAATAATCTTATACAGCTTAATTTGCTGTATACCATATATTGATGTATAAGGCAGTGTGAAACTATGGTATGAAATGCACAAATATTTCTCCAATTATTATATCCAAGCAGGCAGCCATACTATAAATAAAAGTATCCTCGACTTACAACAGATCATTTAGTGACAGTTTGAAATTACAACGGCACTGAAAAAGTGATTTATAGTACATCTTTCACACAACCATTAGAGCATCCCCATAGTCGTATGATCAAACTTTCAGATGCTTGGCAACTGAGTCATATTTATGATGGTTGCAGTGTTCCAGAGTCATGTGAATCACCTTTTGTGACCTTCCGACAAGTAAAATTAATGGAAAGGTCGGATTCACTTAACTTGGTTACCAACTTAACAACTGCAGCGATTCACTTAACAGCTGCGTCAAGAAAGGTTTTAAATGTGGCAAATTCACTTAACAACTGTCTTACTTAGCAACATAAATTTTGGGCTGAACTGTCGTCATAAGTAAAGGACCACTTGTATATGCTTTTGATACTTAAAGAATAGCAAAACCCTAGGACATTTTGGACTGAAAGACATAAAAATATTAAGAGCTGTACTATTAAGTGAGCAAGAAGCAAGCATTTCTGGCGAGATAGCCCAACTGAATAACCTGGAACTCTGTAGTATTAAGAATATATATTTCCACCCATGTGGTTCCAGATCAGCAAGAGCTCATGAAAGGTTTAATCAGTCCACAATGTGAAACATACAGCATTACTAAAAATTAAATGTCAGCCTGCTGAGAAGCACCATGTTTAAAGTAGACGTTCATTTATTTCTGCCACACTGGTTTATATAGTAACTTTGGCTCCAACACTCCTCAGCTTGTGTCGAAGTAATGAGTTAGGAATGTAAATTAATTCTAAAATATGCTTCATTTAACCCTAGCTAATAAACCAGCCCAGGAAGATTTCTAGAAAAAAAAAAATCAGAAGTTTTTTTTTAAAAGAATGATCTATATTTGATATGCCTTCCTGTGGTACTCTGCCAAAACAGGGCTTTCCATTAACTCCCTTGATAATAAATTTAAGGAATTCAAAAGCTGTTAGGAAGTGTTAACAGATGCATTTTAAGCAATGCAGCACTCTTTAGAGGGATGAGAAATGAAACTTAGCTTTGGTTTGATTACTATCTATCCTTTTTAAGCTCCTAAATAAAAACAGCATGAACACTGGAATCCTACTCTTCATAAGGGCCTCTTGGAAATATAGTCCCAGGATTACAGCTGAGTAGGATGAATATTCACATTTAATAGAGGTGTAACTCAAGAATATAACCAGAAAACCTGAGGGCTTTTACTGACCATCTGCGAAAGGAAACCAAGTTTTTATATTCTTAATCTATTAAGAAATATTTGGCAGAAAAATAAGATAACAGCTGGCAAGATTTTAGATGGTCAGTTTTAAAATCACATTAAAAGTAATTCAGCTGAAGATGTAGGATGCAAAGTTCAAGACAGTTTTATTTAGGGTTTTTTTTTTTGTAAATTTTATTTGAGTTTTCACAAAGAGAGAAAAAAAATACAAATAAAACATCTTTTTTGAAAGTAGCGTAATCCCGGGTTACATTTTTTCGTACAGACACAAATTCAAGTTCATACTCATTTTTATATTCTATTCCATATCTTATTACTATTTTACATTTTCTGCATAGCTTCTCCCCTATTTTAATTTTCTCAATTATATTTTAATTATCTCAATTTTATTTTAATTATCTCATCTCAATTCAAATCATTATATTTGTATTTTTTGTCTGTCCTGTTTAAATTATCTATTATCTTTTCTCATTAAACAAAATTTCTCCTGTAGTTACTGATTGGAGTATGACGCCTTTATATCTTTTAAGTTTATCCATATAGGCTTCAATATATACCCTAAAGTTATAACATTCAATATAATAATACATAACTTCCATTCGGATTCTGCTTGGTACATTCTTAAAATACACACTATATTCTTAAAAAAATGTATGTAAAATGTATGTAATTAAAACAACACATTCCATTCCAATTCAATTCTATCATTAATATTAATATTCATTAAAGTCTTAACTTCTTTAACATTACTTTTCAATTAAATATCATACTTCTATGGGAACAATAATAAGCTTTCCATAATTAATTCCCCCCTCTTCACTTATATTTTATAAAACATTAACTAATTAAAATGTTTCTGTTCCTTCCTAATTCAATTTTCTCATTTATTTTATTTCACTTATTTTATTAACAAACATTTCACTAAATTACACTAACTATTTTATCCTTCATTTTAATCATACATTGTTTCCAATTTTCTAAAGTTATTTCTATTTCAAATATAACAACACAATCTTATGTACCTTTACAGAATCCCTTTTTCAGTTAGATTTTCACCCATTATCTCTAAATAGGTCCTGTTTCTCTATATCTTGCTCCGATCCTTTGTAACTTCTTTTCCTTTCCTTCTTCCCTTTCTTCTTCTCTCTCCCCTTTTTACCCCCTTGTCTCTCTACCTCTATTTCTCTCTTCTGTACTCCCCTTTTCTGTTGTTTTCCAGTGTTATACTTATTTTTTGAATTATTTTTGTATTCTTTGGTTGTTTTTTTAAATCTTAAATTCTCCATCTGTTTCCCCCTTTCCTTTTTCTTCCCCACATAAAATTACTTGTTCATTAAAGATAGCTTCTTCTTTGTCCCAGTCTTCTTGTTTTGCAAATGTTTCTTGTTGTTTCTCATAGTTCCAAATCTCCATTTCTAAGAATTGAAAAACGAAGCCAAAAGAACCCTTCCCTTCTTGTGCATCTTCTTTGTACTTTTTAAGTTCCATTTTCAATTCATCCAGAAGTAGTGCCATTGTATAAATTTTTAAACAACCACCCGATTAATTTTAGTCATTCAAATGTAATAACCAACAATCCAAAGATCACCAAATAATCCAAATACATGCAAGCTGTTTCTTTTTGCTTTTTTTTCACTTTCTCTTCTTGGGGTTACTGTTTAGTTACAAAGTTGCAGTTAAAATGTATCTTTTAGAAGTCTTGTTGAAGTTTTATTGTAGATTCTTTTTAATTCCAGGCAATCTCCTCCCTCTTCCAAATCCTGCCCTTATTTTTTTCTCTCCCTTCCTGCTTATGAAAAAAAAATTTAGTGTCCAGAAATCTTTATTATCCCTTTGGCATTTTATTTTATTTTCAGCTTAATTAACTACTGATGTCAAAGCGGATTTTTCTGATTTCTTATTTAAGTCTCTTAGTTGTCAGTATAGGGAAGGAAAGAGAAGAAGAAAAAAAAGCCAAACCTTTCCCTTTTCACTTTCCTTCGCTGCTTCCGATTCTTCTTTGGGAGCAATATTATTTTTTTGTAAGTTTAAATTCCAGGATACTTTAGTTGTTGCTTTCACAATTTAACCTGGTCAGCCACAACTTTCACTTCTTATCTTCCTCCTGCACATTCTTTTCTGGTCAAGTTCTTCTTTGTGGTGGCCATTTCTGACCACCGCTGCAACCGCCTTCAGGAAAGGGAGTAATGGCCAGCTGAGGAGAGATGCGGCTCTCCTCAACCCGGTACCCCTTTCTTCTGCTGGCGGTCTCCCCCCTCTTCACCACCTCTACGGGGTGGCTTAGCCCTGAAACCAGCTGGCTTGGGGTGCTCCAGCGGCGAGCCCAGACCGAAACCGGGCACGATCGCGGATTTCTGTCTGTCGCCGATGAGACTTCAAACCGGAAGGGCAGTTTTATTTAGTTTTGATGAAGTAAAACTACACGTTGTTGTTTAATGTAATATATAGTTCTGGTTTCCCTTTAATTTCACTGCAGTCAATTTGGCAGCAACAATATAAAAGCTTCTACAACAGAATGTGTGTGTGTGTGTGTGTGTATAGTATTCAGCTTTGTTCGGGTATTTTTCCACGTCATTATGGTTGTGCTTTTAAAGCTGTAGCAACGTTTCGGCAGAATCTCATCTGCCATCATCAGGCTTCTGTATTTTGTTCGTCTGCGAGTCAGACTTTTACAGTTGTTTCAGTTTTAAAAGCACAACTATAATGACATGGGAAAATACCCAAACAAAGCTGAATACCATACATGTAAGTACCCGCGAAAACTTAACACACACACACACACACACACACACACACACACATATATGGTCTTTGGAATAACATATATACATACATACATACATACATACATACATACATATATATACACATACATACACATATACGTGCCTATATCTACATGTAAAACTGTGTATATGGGAAACAGTATCTAAGGGCCCCAACAAGGGAAACCCCCAAGCGCTCCAAGCAAGAAATATTCTGGATCCCTGGTCCCCATCAAGGGAAACCAGCTATACAGGGCCTGGATGGATCCTTTCCTGTCAAAAACGTCCCGTTGTTTGAAATGGCACTTGCAGCTTCACTCCAATGAAATGATCCAAAAGCAATTGCAAAAGGGAAAAATTCCTGTTTAAGGACTAGCCTGCTTATCCAATGCCAGCAAGACAAAAGAGAAACAATGCCAGGGAAATGGAGTGGGAAGGTACCTGCCCCAGTCCCCAAGAAGGGAAACTAGCAGGGAATGGTGCCTGCGATATTTAGGCGCGAACTTGAAGCCAGCAGTTGAAAATGCCGGGAAGGCAGAATCTCTGATGTTAATTGCCTGAGCAATTTAACGAGCCGCTGATGCTGACTCTCTAAATTGTCAGATAAATGATCCTGTCAGTCGAAATGGCAAGGAGAAGTGAGCCGTGGCTGCGAGCGCTCCGCCAAGATCGCAGAGATAAGATGATCGGGGGATTAGATAAGCTAATTGCCTGAAGCGGCTGTCTCAGGATGCCTGTGGAGTGGCTGGCGGCTCTCAAACTGATCGGGGGGATAACCTGATAGAGCCACAAGCCTTGAAATCGCCATATAAATTGGGGAAAAATGTACAAGCCAAATTAACCCAAGAGCAAACCTGAATTTTGACTAGCTGAATCAGAAAACCGTTCCAGTCAGGGAGTGCACAACCTCTTACCATGAAGGCTAAGCTAAAACTGGGGGACGCTGGGGAGGTGTCCCGTGGAGGAGGAGCGTCCCGGAGTTTTAAGCCCAGCCTTTCCAGAAGAGACTGAAGCACCTCCCACTTCTGGATGCTCTAAACAGCTCATGGGAGAAATAAAAGAATAATAAATAAACATATATTTTTTCTCTCTTCCTATTGGAGCCTAGAACAGCTTCAATAATGAGATGAGCAAAACTTAAATTTAATAAATAAATATTGGGAAGCGTTATCATTGATGATAAAATATACTGATGTAATTCATGATAATCTGCCATTTAAATGATAAACTACCAAGTTAAAATCTGAAATAGAAGTGCATCATTTTCTGATTTAGGGGTCAGCTAAGTTAATATGATGTGAAGCCTAGCATTACCATAAAGCTCGAGGAGATAGTCATAGGCTTTGATTTTAAGGGTAACTGAGGATCACTTCAGGTATTATGATTAACTAGACCCCATTTCTCAAATCTGAAGCCTACAGACTCATATCAATTGATCCAGCTGATCTCAAGGGAGATTGCACTTTTTTTGTAACTTTACCACATGATAAATCAACAACTTACTGGCGTAAGAGTTTTAAATAAATAATGTGGAGAAAAATGTATGTAAGTCAGTGTGTATATATCCTTAGCTCAGGTAGCTTATACCTGAAGTAGTAGGTTGGGCTTAGAAACAGCAACTGGCCTGAAGCCATGCAGTTACTGTAGTTCTATGGTTAAAAATGGGCACAAATCTAAATGGCACCCACAAAAAAATGAACAAAGATTTTGCAATGAACAAATAGATTCACGACTGCTTTTATATTTGGGTGTCTGTATGTAGGATAAAGGCAGAGAGTATGAATATGTGTTATATTGGGAAATTATTATTATTATTATCGTTGTTATTGTTTTTGAAGTCAATATAGCCGTGTTAAGTGCAGAAAATTCTGTATTTCAAAAGTTTCATAGTGAAGCACTAATTTCTGTGAAAAAAGAATTGTCATTGAACCACACCAAAGTACTAATGCTCGAAGTCCATAAATAAATGAAAATAACTAATTAAATGAAAATAACTAATTCAAATTTCAGTATTGCAGATCTAAATTGAAATCTGAATTATGTGAATTCAGATGAGGGTAGTGCATCCATCCTTGCTCTATTTGACCTTTTGGCAGCTTTCGATACCATCAACCATGGCATTCATCAACCATGGAGCAGCTTTGGGAGATGGAAGCGGGAGGCCTTGTGCTATCCTGGTTCACTTCCTTTCTTTGCGGCCACTCTCAGTCAGTGTTGATAGGAGGGGAGAGATCCAGCCCTCGCCCACTGCTTTACGGGGTTCTGCAGGGCTCAGTACTCTCTCCTGTTCAACATTTATATGAAGCCGCTGGGTGAGATTATCTGACACCATGGATTGAGGTATCACCAATATGCTGATAATACTCAACTGTATGTCTTGGCCCGTGGTGAGTTAAAATGATGCCGTGTCCTCCCTCCCGCAATGCCTGGAGGATGTTAGGGGCTGGATGGGGAGCAACAGATTGAAACTAAACCCTGACAAGACCAAGCGGCTCTGGGTTTGGGGTTCATTGGCTCAGGGAGAATTGCCACCTTTGGTCTTGGATGGGGTCTTGGATACCCCAAGCAGACCCTGTGCGTAATCTGGGGGTTCTCCTGTACTCATGACTCTTGCTCAAAGAACAGGTGGTGATTGTGGCCGGGAGGGCTTTTGCGCAACTGTGGGTTGTGCGCCAGTTATGCCCTTTCCTGGACCAACAATCCCTTCTCACAGTCACGCATGCCTTGGTCACTTCCCATCTTGACTATTGCAACACGCTCTACATGGGGTTGCCCTTGAAGAGCATCCAGAAGCTCCAGTTGGTGAAAAATGCAGCGGCCTGCATGGTTTTGTGCAGACCCCGATGTGCACATGTATCACTCTCCTGCAGGAGCTACATTGGCTACCAATTTGCTTCCAGCTGCAATTTTCAAGGTGCTGGTTGTCACCTTTAAAGCGCTTCATGGCTTGAGACCAGGTTATCTGAGGGACCGTCTCTTGCTGGTCACATCTACCCGACTCATCAGAGGGGGGACACAAGGAATGCTGAGGTCCCATCCCTCAGGGACAGACACCTGGTAGGACCCAGAAGAAGGGCCTTCTCTGTGGTGGCTCTCTCTCTCATCTTCTGAAAATACTTGATTATAATTTGAACATTCAGGAAATTCCTTTCAGTGTGAATTATGCTTTTGTAGGACTGAATAGATTATAAAAAAATGTGAGACACTAATATTTTGATTGAAGGATTTGCTTTCTGTTCAAAAATAAAATTTAGATTTCAACTTTGTTTTTTTTTAATAAAACGTTGGTTTTGGAAAACTGTTTAAAAGACATAGAAGCCCTCACCTGTTGCAGTATATGTCTTTCTCTTAGAGTCATTAACCTTCTGTGAAGCTCAACTAATTCATCAAGATATGCCTGAAAATAAATAATTACAGATTAAAACAAAAAATGCAAAGTTTGCCAGTTTGTGAGACCGCATAGTTTTGTTCACAAATATTTCAATTTTATATGATCTTACCAACATAGCAGCAATAAACAATATACATGTAGTAATACAAAATGCTAAAGGAATAATTAAGAAATATTTTATGAAATCACATGCCATTTACATATAAATGTATGTACAAATTTATACTTTTATGTAGATGTTGATTTCAATTAGGTTTTCTGTCTAAATTTAGATTCTAATGTATAGAAGCAGGTTTTAAACATTCTTTTTCTATTTACCTTATCACAATCACCATTCTTAATCTGTTTTTCAGATTTACTTTGTTTTATAGGACTCTTTACTTCCAGAATCTACAAAACAAAAAGAGTAAATATTTAAGGACATTACAAATTAAAAACTAAAATATTTTAAACTATGTTGGTCAGATGACTTTGTTCTGTAAGCGGATTTAAAGCCAATTTATATATCCTAACTATATCTCATGTTATATAACTTAAGAGCAGAAATTAAAGCAACAAACTAATTATAAATAAATTTGAATATCGAAAGACTTTGGAATTATCAATTAAATGAATACTAATGGAAGAACTTTCAGAAATGATTCAGTAATATACTATGTCTTATCTAGTATCAACTCTTCAATTTATTTATAGATAAATGTGCCATATTTTTATAAATTAGCTTTAAAATAAGGTCATGGCACTTGAGTTTTGTTTCTAAACTTCTACAATGCAAGAATTACATCCATATGTTGAAGTCTCTGTTTGTACATAGTTCTTCTACGAGCAGGGACCTGCCATTTTCAGAACAGTTTCACGAGCATTGATCTACTGGAGCATTGATTTAGAACAGGGCTGTCAAACTCGCGGCCTGTGGCCTGGATGCGTCTTGTGCTGGCCCTGCCCCCGCCCAGTTTAGTGAAGGGGAAAAACGTCCCAATACGTCATGTGATGATGCAAGTTTGACACTCCTGATCTAGAAGTATTCATTTTCCTACTCAAGTAAAATCAGAACCTTAACATAGTGCTTAATAAATGTCAAGAATACAGAGTCTTTAGAAGTAGTTGGACGATAACAAATCCAAGTAACAGGAAATAACAACAGATTGTCGTTGACTCAATTGATTCATGCATACATATGACATTACTTGGAAAAGTGTTATTTGCTGACTTTTGGTTATTTTAAAAAGTAATAATTTAAGCTAATTTTCAATGAAACTAGAAGTATAGTCTTTGATTTACAACTATTCATTTAGCAGCTTTTCGAAGTTACAACAGCACTGAAAAAGTGATTTACAACTAATACTCGCACTTACAAGGATCCTATAGCATCCCCAGTCCCTGATCAAAATTTGGGTGCTTGGCAAACAATATGTATTTATGACAGTTACAGTGTTCCGGGATCATGTGAACACCATCTATAACCTTTCCAGCTGCTACTGACAGCGAAGTCAATAGGGGAAGCCAGATTTGTTTAATGAATGCACAATTCACTTAACAACTGCAGTGATTCGCTTAACAATGGTGACAAAAATGATCATAAAATTGGGTGCCATTTACTTATAGGATATATAAATGTTGTGCACTTTACACATATCTTTGGAAGGATTCCCCTCCCCCCCCCAAAAAAAATATTATAGGCTATAATAGCACAAATCAAATTCAGTAAGATCTGCACAAACTGGAAAGATTCAGGACTAATTAACACTAATCATTTATAAAACTAAAGAAGGCTCACAAAGTTGGTAAAATAAAAATGTTTACTGGAAAAATTAAACAACAGAGACTGTTGTGCTCATACCAAAACACGATACCTGGTTATTGTTGGTTTTTAATAAAGGTGGAGGATCATGGTGTAGAGGTGAAGATGCAGAACTGCTATCACTGTCACTTCCATCACTTAAACTAACCCTGAGCAAAAATAAAAAATGGAAGAGGAATGAAAAGGTAAGAAGCAGGTCAATACACACATGAAAAATTCAAGTGTTCCCAATTTACTACAGATTACGAATATGATATTTTTAAGACCACCTCATCTTATCTGTGATGGCTAGAGTTTTATATTACTCACAGCAGATTAAGACAGTGTAACTTTTGTGGCTTGGATGCCTGGTTGGGGGAGAGAGGGGAATTGGGCTGCAAGAGTGGTGAGCTGGCTGTAACTAACTATTTAAGACAGTGGTCCCAAACGTTTCTGCCTTTGCAGACCGGTGGCGATGATGGCGGGGAGAAGGGAAGGTTCTGTGAGTGCAGCAGGCAAGCGAGCATAGCTCCATTTGCGCAAGTGGCGGGCACTTGCCAGCCGCTGTGCAAATGGGGTTTTGTGTGCAAGCATGAGCACCTGCCACTTGCACAAGTAGAGCTGCATGTGCTCGTAGTCGCCCACTTGTGTGGCCTGGTTCTGAATGGGCTGCAGCCCAGCAATGGGCCCTTGATTTAAGAAACACACAAATATTGTTTTATCATGGAGAGACAATGGTGAAAGAAGTGTATCGGAGGAAGCTCAGAAATCGTATTTTCAAACCAGGGAAATATGAAAATAGCAAGTGCAGTTTGACATACCTATATGAAGCAAACTGGGGCAAAAAAATATTAATTTCACAGCTCTATGGCCGTTTATGTCCTGACGTTTACTCTCTGCTTTGGCAGGAATCAAAATCACAATCTTGAAAAATGTGTGCCAAGTCAAGGGGTTCTCACTGCTGCCCTAGACAATTTCTTCCACAGTTGAACAATTTTATCTGTTAGGAAGTCACCATCTACTCACTCCTTCAAATTAGTCTATTTTCTATAACTCAAGACCATTGTTACATATCCTATGACCCCTGGGATGACAGAAAATTGGTCACAGCTGTCTGATATGGCATCACATATCTGAACATGACTATGCTGCCCTTTAGGGTTTTTTTTCTGAAAGCTAAAACTTTCTTCAGTCTCCTCATTTAGGACTTAATTTGCAGTGCTCCCCCCTCCCCCATTGATGCTCGCTCTGCTTTCTTTACATCTGCCCCAATTTCTCTGAATTATACTGAAATTGCAGGACAGAGAACTGAATATAGTAGTGAAGTGGAGAATGGAATGGAACAATCACATCTCAAATGGAAACTACATTTCAGTTAATGCAGTTCAAAACCATGTTTGCCTTCCCCCCACTTTTGCAGCCACATAATACTCAATGTTTAAGTATAGCTTCAAAGTTTTCCACAAGTATTTTTCCCATCCTATAAATGATAATTTAATGTCCTTTCCTAAGATAAAAACTTCCAATTAGGGTTTGTTAAAATTCAGCTATGTTCAACTTATTTCCCTGATTTCTGAAATTCGCCATATATGGCCTAAAGAATGAAAAGCAGAACATACAGAGAGAGAGAGAGAGAGAGAGAGAATGAGAGAGAGAGAGAGAGAGGGAGAGAGAGAGAGAGAGAGAGAGAGAGAGAGAGAGTGTTTGACTATATACTAGAGCAGCGGTTGCCAACCAGTGGGCTGCAGAGAAATCTTACGCCCAGAGCACCCCCCAAAGCAATTAATCCAGGCTGCGCAGAAACACAAGGCTACGCTAACCACATGGCCCGCGGGAACCCTCCCCATCCACTCACTCTTTACCAAGAAAACTTGCCTGCTAAACTGCCTTTTTTCCTTGTTCCGACCATCATCCGTTCTGCTGTGCCGGAAGATTTAGATTAGCTAGGAAGCAGGAAATGGTTGGATTTCTTGCTTTCTAGCTAGTCTTTAGATCTTCAGCTCTGCTTTTAAGCACAGCCGAACCTTCCTTAGGACTGAAGGTTCTATTATTCAGTGCAGACTCACGGCAAGCAAATTTTATGTGACAGACTGAGCTAGCCGATGGCAGATAGATAGATCACTGAATGATTCTGTGAGCAACTCAATCTGCCTGCCTGCTTTGCCTGATGTTGGGCACAAGTTGCTCTTTAAAAATTCAATATTTACATACATGGTGTGTGAGTTAATTTTATGAGTTTGCTTGCAAGCAAATTTTATGTGACAGGCTGAGCTAGCCGACGGCAGATAGATAGATATCTGAATGAATCTATGATTCTGTGAGCAACTCAATCTGCCTGCTTTGCCTAATTTTGGGTAAAAGTTGCTCTTTTTTTATAAAAAATTCAATATTTATATATTTATAATATCTACATACAAGCCATGCCCAGCCAGTCACATGACCACCAAGCCACACCCACAAATTAGGCCATGCCCACAGAACTGGTTAGTGGTCCCTGGGATTTAAAATTATGAGTTTGGTGGTCCCTGAGGTCCAAAAGGTTAGCGACCCCTGTACTAGAGTGCAGAAGATCTTACTCTTCTTTCTTGGCATGCTGAGCTTTTAAATAAAATGATTTCCCAGATTCTTTCTTAAAACGTTAAAAAATTTCCTTAAATCCCTGCGTATTATTTTCTTTTCCAGCATGCAGTGTTTTAATAAATCTAATAAATATTTTTGCCTTAATTCAAAATCTAAAAAAAAATACCCCCTTTACTATCTTCGGCTTGTCTTAGGCTGTCAAATTATCTGAAATTTATTCTTCTAATTCCTAACCTGCGCACTCTACTTCCTCCGTGCGTATTTATAGGTCTTTCCATCTCAGAGTCGTTGTCGTTCTCATCTGCTTCATCAGATTCATCTTCATTATCATCAGAATGCAGATCTTTCATTATAGACCTCAAAGGACCTAGTGAATAAAAACAAAAAGGGACACACAATTCAACAACAGGAATTCACATGAAGCCTATTTATGGTTAGCTTTATATTAAAAACAAGTCCTAACAAAAATTTTAAGAAAGGAGAAAGGAGGATCTGATCATTAAACAAAAGATGCACTGCTTGGGGGAGCTTACGAAGCAAATGCTTAAACAAAAGTAAATTTATTCAAGGACCAGTTGACTTAAAACAGGATTATTTCTGTCAACAAGGAGATTAGTGTTTTAAGTGTTTGCAGAATAAGCCCCTTGGAATGTTAAATAAAGCAACTTGGCATTCTACAGAACCAAATGGATCTTTAAAACAAAACAAAGTAAAATAAAGATGCTATAAAAGACCCTTAAAGGTATTTTATACTGGAAAAAGCTAAAGAGGCCACAGTAACAGTACATTTTGCTAGACTAATCCATGCATTGAAAGTCATAGTCTAATAAATCACTGTGATTACAAGTTGCTCTAGCCAAGGCATTCTTTGTCTGTTTTTGATCTACTCAGAATATAGCTGTCGTCTTTAGTCTAAGGTCAATATCAGGTCAAACCAGCTTTTTGCATGCTCCTATGTATAAAGTGTGTCAATTCCAGTAGAAGAGACCTATTTTTATCCAAGAACTGGATAGAGATCCTATGCCTCCTACACTAATGAAGTTGTATTAAATAAAAGTTCTACAATTGGTTCTACAACTTAAAATGTGAGCGTATTTTAATAGCATTAAAGACATTTACATTGAGGCATTGTTTTTCCTGAAGAAAATAAAAATATTTAATCTGTTCAGAGGTTGAAAAGCAAGAAGAACAAAACTTTGAGGGAATTTTTGAGCTAAAGCTCTAAAAATAATTCTGCCACTAAAAAACAGAGCAATAATTTACAAAATAGTTTAATTCTTAACATTATTATTAGTGGCATCGTTAATTACAATTTGACATGTTGCTCTATGCCAAAATAAAGATTGGCTGTTGTAAAGTTACTAATTGTTTTATTAATTAATTTAGAAAGGCAAAAGACCTATGTGGTCTGGAGAGAAACAGATTAACTAATTTATGTCCTGCCTTTCCTTATGTTCAAGATAGCTAAAATAAAGAAGCACAAAGACAAAATTTGAATATATAAAATAATGGCAATCAGAGTTTCCTGCACGATCATAATAATTGTTAAAATATACAGAAACAGGATAAATTCCAGTTATATGTGTCCATGATATTAAACAGGAACTATAATCCAAGCTAAGGCTGTAGTTAATCATTAACTACATGCATGCGCAAAACGTAGTCACTGAACCAATAGTAACACCGGTTGAATCCCACCCCTGATCAAAATCTGAAAAGTTGAAAGATTATGGCATAAATCTCTGTGTTGACAAAATTTCCATTTATCAATTATAAAAGGTCACACTGCTTGGATCCATACATATACTCTGCTGATACATAATGGCATTCTAGATTCTTGGGAAGAATTTGATGCACATGACAGCTAACAACAGCCAAAAAATTGGCAGCTATGACTTCATATTGTTGTGTACATAATAATACAATAGTTTGTGATACTGTCATGGAAGTTGTATATATTTTGAAATGTTCCCTGAAAAGCAGTAATCAGTTGGCAAAGGAATAATTTTCTTATAATTATTGCAGGAAAAGAAAATGTCTGAAGAAATTTAGAAATATCAACTGATGAAAGAGCTGAATGCTTTTAGGAAAAAAACATTTTTGATTTAAAAAAGATTTGGACTTTTCGAGAAACTAGATTTACAACACTATGCTATTTACCATTTTTAAAAAATGACACAATGGGAACTCCCTCAAGTATCTATATATAAACTACAATAAGTTTTTGCATATCTAAATATGCAAAAATGTATGTTTTTGCATATTTAAATCCTAAATTTGAGAACTCCAAAATCAAAAATCAAAAAAGGTTAGGAAATCTGTTCCCTTTGTTTAAAAAAAACAACAACATTTTTTTAAAAAAAGTACAAGTTCTAGGTTCTTTGGTTTACTCATTTCTGCAAAATTGAAGACTGACAGATCTTGGAGGGACTACTTTTTAAATGAAATGTATCATGCAAAATACATCTTAATTATCCCACTGTTCCATGGGCTGCACTGGCTGCTGCTTTGCTACCGAGTGCAATTCAAGGTTGTTACCTTTAAAGCTCTGCGCGGCATAAGTCCAGGTTACTTGAGAAACAGTCTCACCCCAATGGGACTGGCCTGCTCCACCAGCAGAAGAGGTATCCTGCAGGCCCCATCAGTCAAGGAGGTTTGGCTGGCACACTGCAGGAGAAGGCCTTCTATTCTGTGGTTCTTGCCCTTTGGAACATCTTATCCCCTGAGGTGAGATTGGCTCCCACCCTTCAGACCTTCCCTAGGGGCTTGGAGACCAGATGGCCTGGAGGCCCAACAGGGGAGTATCACACTAGAGGCGGTTGATAAATGAACAGGCAATCTCACCTCCCCATCTTTTAAGCTAATTTTTATTTTTGATTGTATTTCTATTTTTATTGTTTTAGAAATATTCATCTTTTATACTTTTAATGCTTTTAATGATGTGAGCCACCCAAAGTCACTTCAAAATGAGATGGGCCGCAAATAAACCAAATAAATAAAGTACTTTTTAATTTCAAAAAGTCATTTGTTTGTGCAGCTAAGCTGCTGCCATCTTCTATTGGGACATAGCCTGTTTAGTTATCCAAAGTAACTAGAAATAAGGTTGTTTGATTTCTGAAGAAAGGTATAATGCTGGCTGAAATTTAACTACTTCAGATGCTAACAAGTAAAACTTAAGTGATCTAGGAATTGCCGTAGCACAAGCGATGGTAGGATCAGCCTAGGAGTGGGGAGAACAGAATTCAAATCTCTACTGAGCTATCAAGCTCTTGCAGGTAGTCCTGGACTCATGATCACAATTAGGACCAAGATTTCTGTTGCTAAGCCAGGTGGTTAAGTAAGTTGTACTTGATTTTACGACCTTTTTCTGTTAAGCGAATTACTGCAGTCGATAAAAGAGAATCGTGCAACCCTTGTATGGATCCAGCTTTCACCCCACAGACTTTACTTATCAGAAGCTGGCTGGGAAAATAGCAAATGGTGAGCATATGAACCCAGATGCTACAGCTGTTGTAACTACATAGCCGTTGCCGAGCCCTCAAATTTGGACCACATGACCACAAGGATGCCACCACAGTCCTCTAAGTGCAAGAGCTGGTCTTTTTTCCAGTGCTGTAACTTTGAATGGTCACTAAATGAATGGTTCTAAGTCAAGGACTACCTGTATTATGATCCATTGTCAGTTCAACCTATTTTGCATGGATAAAATGACAGGATAAAGGTTCTCAGAGCTATCTCTAGTAGGATGACAATCCATATGTCTTTTTTTTTTTAAAGATGCCATCCTTTTTGTTTGCATGCACCTGACCCCCCCCCCCCCCCCCCTCCCTTTTTTAAAGTTACCTTGCTGTCGACTGTTCTGAGATGGTGTGAAACTGGAGCTAGAGCTGGAACTTGAACTTGCAGGGCTGGGTTGCTCGGACTTGGGAAGGAGAGAATGTGGCAGAGCCAAGAGAAAATAAAAAAGCACAAAATTAGTTCCTCTGCTTGCTCAAAAAAAAACCAAACAGAAACAAAATACAAAGATAAATGGTCACATTTACTTTGCAACAATTGGAAGGAAAGGAACTACCGGTAAGAACACACCTTTCCCGCAATTTACACAAAGGGAGGGGTAAGACTTTATCCACTGGAGGCAAGCTTTCTTTTTCATCCCATATACTCTAGGTGGAAGGCCCATTAATGCTTTCCTTTTAATCAAATGATCAGTGAATTTGGTTTAGTAAGGCCATACCAGCCTGCTAGAAGTTGGACCTTCCAGCTACATTTGCTGAAAATCATCCAGTTAGCCAGACAACCTATCTGGATAATACCGAGCGGGAGAAAGCTGTTAAAGATGTAGAATGATTGTAGGCCGAACTGTAGAACGAATGAGAAACCATGACCCAGGAAAAGGCCTATATTTTCCTTAAGCTTGTATATTAAATACATTATTCCCACTGCTGTCAAACAACTTTATAATAATTTGAAAAGATTGTGCACGAAAATGCTTCACTTAAACAGGGGAAAGACTAGGGAGTAGATAATTGCAGCCATTTTTTGTTCCTCATGAAAAGTGCTCATGATACTCTCAGGCTTTCTGAAATACATGGAAGAACTTTAGAAGGAAAAATCTGCAGAACATTTTATGCCAGCCTTGCGATCTTTATAGAGAGTAGACCTGATTGGCCACAATGAAAATAGCAAACTGATTTAAAACTGTTTCATACCAAGTAGGTGGTTTTAGGATAATTCTTACATATTGTAGGAATATTAATTGCATATAGGGTATCTATGACAGCATAATAGCATCAAACAATTCCACTGTGTATAATTGTATATACCAATCTGCCATGCTGTTAATTTTCACAGTAAACAATATTACGGAAAGTGAGGAAAAGAGAGATAACAAGTAAAAGAACTTAAAGGTAAGAAATAACAGAAAGAAAATGAGTCTAATTATATCTTTTAATGCTTACAAACCACACTTGCCTTTACCACATTCAAGCACTAATTTTTGTTCTTTAAAATTCCCACCTCCTCTCTCCTTCTGAGGATTTCATCAATTCTCTCCAGTCCCAAGTTTCTTGGTGCTCTTTTTCCTCTCAAACCATTCGTTCCTTTTTCATGTATTTATTTGCTTCTTCTCTGCTAGTTTTTCACTTTTCTTTTCACATCCATTTAGAACTCTTTCCTTCTTAAACCTATCTCTTGTTCTACCACACATTTCTTAGGCACTCAAAATTGCATTCAACCTTTTTTTTTTTTTTACTTCTCTTGATATGTCCAACTATCACTTCCATGACAAATGGGCAGCAACACACACATTTTAGCATCTCTAGGTAAGTATCAATTCCTCGCAACAACCACATATGTTCTCTACTTTTCTAATAGCATTTGCATTAAAGTTTCTCTGTTTCCCCCTCCTTAGTAAGCTTTCTATCAAAACACATGAATTCATCTACTAGAATCATAGGGACTAGAACTTTTTCTAAACTTTTTACAGGAAACTTACACTATTACATTTTTTCTGTCAAATGCAACCATATTGGTTTTCATTTTCAGATCAATAATACTAATTGCATTGCACAATCTAAGATTTGCAAATCATTTAAGTTTGGAGCAAACACCATCTCCAATCACTGCATTTCAAACATCACCACAAGCATTTTCTTATACGTTTATCAATATAGCAAACCACCAAAGTTGACATCAACATATCTTTCCCTTATTTCCTGCTCGATGTTGAATTATTAGATAAACAATCCATTTATTCTCACGGATGCTTTTCTTTGATCATATTCTGCTTCAAACTTCAAGACCATATTTATGCAACTTGTTTCTTAAGTAAAGCTCGTCGCTTTGTCATATAGTTAGTCCTTGACTTATGACCATAATGGAGTCTGCCCATCATGGTCATAAATCATGATGGCTGTGATGCAGGTCACCCATGTGTATAACCCAATTTTAAACTTTGTTTGCAGTGATTGTTAAGTGCCCACACCAACCAATGGTTTCCTATGAGCCAGTATTGCTGAAAACTGAAGGTAAATGTCAGCTTTTGATAAAAATCATCATAAAACAGTCATATGACCAAGAAATCTACAAATGGACATAAATTTGGGCTGCTTACTAAGCACCCAACATGCGGTCATGTGCTTGTAGGTCTAGATAGTTGTCAGAACTTTGGAACTGGGTTGTAAGTACCCGCAGAAGGATCCTCAGAGACACTTTGACTGGTCGCAAATGAATGGTCATAAATTGAGGACTACTATTTTCTAAATCAACAAATGTACAATAAATTTTCTTACATTCGTACTTTCCTGAATATCCCATCGAAGTGCAAAACTCCAATATGCGCAGCCCAGCCAAGCATAAAGCTTCACTCTACTTCCAAAATGTCATTGTCACCTCTTGAAATCTTTCAACATGAATTCCAACAGGCATATTACCCGGAATATTTAATCGTCCTCTAATTCTGCATTCGTTCTTATTATCATTCACTTTGTATAAGGGAAAAATATAATAGTGTTATCTCAACTGTCAAGTGCAGATGGAGTTAAAGACATTGAAGTGCCACACTTTATTTAAACCATATTATGTTAATTTCCTTCACAGTTATACCTGCAGCTTTATCATGTCTCAATATTCTTACAGGATTCATGACTTTTTAGAATAGTTTTCCTCCTAAACGTTAAGCTGTATATTATTTGCTTATTGCTTATCACTGGTCCTTGAAGTTCCAGCCTTTGCAACATACCCATGGTCACATGATTGTAATCTGAGCACGTGGTTGCCCAGTGTGCAATCATGATGTTGCAGTGATCCAGATCATGGGATGACCATTTGTGACATTATCTGCTGATTTCCCATAAAGTCAATGAGGGAACCAGTAGAGAAGGTTGCAAGTCACCCAAGTTCCTGCTGCCTTTTTGCATAGGAGCCTAATACACGGTACATATTCCTCAGCAGCCCTTGTTCACCACAATCCATAAGCACATATTTGCTCGCCAAACACCCTGCCTTCCTATGGCCTCTACTGGTCCTCCCAGGAACCCCCTGAATTACTGAATTCCTTCTCCTAACTAACTATTCATGGCAGGGTTAGGTGGTCTGGTGTGTGATAGTAGTGCAAAGTGGCAGTGGCAGGCAGGCAGGCAGGAGCAGCCCTTGGGGAAGCTGAGAATTTGGATGGCCAGGTGACCTGTGGTGAAAAGAGCGGGAACTGGTTCTTCAGCTTCCACTTAGTTGGTCATGTGATACATTCCCCACTTTGGCAGCTTTTCTCTCTTTTCTATGAGAACTAAGTTGGGAGAGGACTGACATTGTGTTGGAGATCTCAGGGAAGACAAGTTTAATGGCTATCTCGCATGGTGGCATGCAGACTGCAAAAATTGGACTGGCAGAGACTTTTTAATAAGTGTTTACTCATCTGTATGTTACTAACACTTTTGTGTTTGTGTCTATGATCTGTAAAAAAATGATACACATCATCATAGTGTAAAATTTTTCAGTAAAGGTACCTCAACTTACAAGACTAACTCACAGAAATTAGGAGTCCATTACTCCCAAGGAAATAAAATTTGAGAAATTTTCTCCCACTTCAGCATTGCTGCAATCAGCCGCAATCACACAATCTTTATTTTAATCTCAAAAAATGCCATCTCATGTGTATTGCTTGAATAGATTATAATTTTCCTTCAGCAATTATTAACTGAAAATAATGAATAAATGATTTTATTTCTGAAGCAAAATGAACTAAAGGGCAAGGAATATTTAACAAAAAATAAAGGATTTATTATTGGTACAAAATCAATATAAAGAAATAAAGCTTGATTCATTGACATCATTTTTTATTTTTATTTCACTAGTATGGCCATCAATATTGTTTCTAAGAAATAGTTTGATCTTGTTGAGGAAAGTGAGGTAAGAAAGGCTGCAAAGGTTTCTGGAGGCTGGTCTTTCTTGAGAGATTCCTGATGCCTCCATCAAAAAGCCACAAAACTAAAATTATAATTGTAAGCCATATAGAGTCATTGACTGAGTTGGCGGTTATAGAAATTGACTGAATAAATGAACGAACGAATGAATGAACAGGATGATACCTATTGCTCACACTTACCAGAGGGTGGCTATTATAGGATTATTAAAAGAAATGGAAAGAGTGAAATTGCTATAAATCATCTGTTTTTAAATCTTAAGACTTCCATTTAGTTTATAATAAAATGAAAGAAGACAAGTTTGTGGTTTGATTATCTCTGGCCAATTGAAAACTGCTCTCCAATGTTCACCTTGTTCTGTATTGCAACTAGTTTTCTACAGGGTGGCTGTTGCTTCAAGTTACATTGAATTGTCCATTGAATTGTCCAATTCAACTTAACGAAGAAATACAAATAGTATATTTATAGCCATAAATCCACCAATTAATTACATTCAAAGTTCCCTCCCCAAATAGCGCAATAGTAGTATGTGGCCTCTATTAAATTCAATGCTAAGTTGCAGTTTCATGCATTGTGCTTACATAAGCTCAACAGTTGTTCATCTACCATAAATCAATCTATTGTTGTCCTTTGTAATGAGAAAGCAGATTTACAGCTTTTTAAAGGCTTGCTTCACAATCAAAAAGATTGTGAGGCAAGCTAATGGAACATCTCTTTTTTTTTTCTGAGGGTGCCAAAGAAAGGGGG